GAGCTATCCCTGTTGAGAGGGGAGTGAAGGCAGTGACACCTGCAGGCATGACAACTGGTGACCTCGTCTGCCAGCATCGCTGCTCACTGTGGAGCTACGGAGAGTCAAATTATGTGATTTCATGAGGCCGTTGGAGGGGAAAGGTCAAAAGGGCAGGGAGGGTCAGTGTGGCTTCCCTGCCATCCTGGTGGGGAGGTGGGAGCCACACTGAGCACTGTGGTTTGTGGGCTCCCTGGGTGGGGAGCACTCCCACCCGCTGCGGCTGACACCCTATAGCCAAGTGGCAGCAGCTCCCTGGCCGGCTTGTCCGCAGTCATAATGTGTCCGGCCCCTTTCAGCTCCCACAGCCCTCCTCTTAGCCTTAAAGCAAAGTCATCCCCAGATCCAGGCGATTTTTATGTTTCATACAAGGTATTGTGGGGAGATGATAAAGGTGGCTACATCACACCCCCATGGCAATACCTTCTGAAAATTCATTTTTAAGCATCTCGTTTCTCCCCAAATTTCTCTTCCAGTACTTGTTACCTCATTAAAATTCTAGGAGACGAGAAAAAAAAAATTCTAGGAGACGTGTGTGTGTGTGTGTGTGTGTGTGTGTGTGTGTTGAAATCAGCAAATCAATTCCAAAATTTATATGGAGAGGCAAAGGGCCAAGAAAAGCCAAGATGTACTTAAAAGGGGGCAAACATGGTAGAAATCACCTTACCAGAAATCAAGACTTCTAGTAAGGCTGCATTGATTAAGACAGTGTCTGACCGTCTCATGGAGAGACAAACAGACCAGGGGTCTGCAAACAGTAGCCTGCCCGTGGGCCGAGTCTGGTCCACCACCTGCTTTTTGTGTGGTCCACAAACAAAGACTGGTTTTTACAGTTTCAAACGGTTGAAATTATCAAAAGAAGAAGACTATTTTATTGAGCAAGGAAATTATATGTAATTCAAATGTCAGCATCTACAAATAGAAGACTTTACTGGTGGAACACAGCCACGTCCATTGGTTTATGTTCTTTCCATAGCTGCTTGCATGGTGCGACAGAGTTTGGTCATCGTGACAGAGAACATATGCTCCACAAAGTCCAAAATGGCTCATACCTGACCCTTGATAGGAAAAGTTTTCTGGCTTCTGCACTAAACCAATGAAACAAAATAAAGTCACCTGATTTATGACAAAGCTGGCATCACAGGGCAGTGGCGGAAAGATTACTGTTTCAGCACCTGGTCCTGGGTAAACTCTAGATCCAACAAGAAACCTGATCCCTACCTCACAACACACTCAAAGCAGTTATTTCTAGGGACATTAAAATCTAGTGTAAAAGTCTAAACAATAATGCTTCTAGAAGATGCTCAAGGATAAAGTCTTCATCACTTAGGGTTAGAAAAAGGTTTCTTGTATAGGGCACCGACATAATCACTATAAAGTAACAGATTAATCAACTAGATTCCATTAAAACTGAGAACCTCCATCCACCAAAACACACCATTAAGATAGTGAAAAGACGGGCCGGCCGAGTGGCGCAATGGTTAAAAACTGGCTTGGGATGCCAGAGGGCCCCGGTTCGGATCCCACATATGAGGGCCAGTGGCACTGCCCTCTACAGCTAAGATGCTGAACAACAGCTCGACCTGGAGCTGGGCTGCTGTGAGTCGCCGGCGACGGCGTAGGCTGCAGCCCCTGCTGCAGTGGGTTGCCATGGGCTACCGTATGTAGCCAGCAGCCAGCGTGAGCGGCCAGCAGCCGCAGTGAGCAGCCGTCCAGAAGCCGGTGGCTGATCTGCCTCACCCGGGAAGAGCGCAATGATGGTGCCAACTTGGGCCAGTGAAGCAACGTCCTCCACAACTAGACTGAAGAACAAAACGACAGCAACTTGTCTGTTCCCCTTCCCCCAATTCCCCAATAAAAATCTTAAAAAAAAAAAAAAAGATAGTGAAAAGACAAGTTACATTGTGGGAAAAATATTTGCAAATCAAGTAATAATCAAATATATAAAGAGTTCATACAAATCAAGTAGAAAAGTCAAACTGTCAATAAATATATGAAACATTGTTTAGCTTCATTTGGTATCAAGGAAATGAAAATAAAAACAAAAGTGCAATACCACACAATATACCTCTCAGAATTACTAAAATTGGAAAGACTCACAATCCCAAATGTGAGTGAGAAGGCATATCCTATCACTCAGCAGTTCCACTCAGAGATACGTACCTAGCAAAATGCTTACATACATGCACCCAAATGCAAGTACAAGAATGTTCAAGGAATTGTTATGTGGAACAACCAGAAATCCATCCTCCAAACATCCATCAACATAGGATGCATGAAAATACTGTGGCATATTTTTACAATAGAATGCCACTCTGCAGTGTAAAGGACCAACTCCTGATATATGCAACAACATGGGTGAGTCCTAATTTTTGTGTTTAGTGAAAGAAGTCAAATACCAAAGGAACACAGGTTATGATTTCATCTCAACAAAGTACAAAAACTGGCAAAAATTGACCTGTGGAGTTAGAAGTCAGAATAGTGGCTACCTGTGATTGGGGTAGTAATTGGGACCACTCCATTGTTGAATCAAGGTGCTAGTTAAGATAATTCACTAAGATGCACATGGATGAAACATGCCCCTTTCTCTATGTGTACTGTTATGGAATGAATTTGTGTCCCCCCATAATTCATATGTTGAGTCCTAATTCCCAGTGTGGTGGGGTTTGGAGATGGGGCCTTTGGAGGGGAGTAGGTAATGAGGGCAGCATTCTCACGAATGGGAGTTGTGCCTTTATAACAGAGATCCCAGGGAGAGTCCCACCTTTCCACCATGCGAGGTTACAGTGAGAGGAGAGCCATCTGTGAACAAGAAAGGTGTTCACAAGAAACAAGAAAGCTCTCATCAGACATGGAAACTGCCAGCGCCTTGATCTTGGACTTCCAGCCTTCAGGCCTGTGAAAAATAAATGTCTAAGTTCCCCAGTCTGTGGTGTTCTGTTCAGCCTGAATGGACTGAGACATATACTATACTAAAAGCTTTCTTAAAATGTATTAGATTCACCTTGTTACTTATACATAGAAATTTTATTTACTTCTTACAATGTATTCTTTTTTGTCTTTTTAATTTGACTAAAAGGACTAAAATGATGTAGTACCATTTCCCATCTTCTTATGTTTTTGATTAGTCTTTACTGTATTGCCTCTAGTTTGGGCTTTATATATTTCAGTGTTGTTATTTGGTATATACAAATTAAGAAATATTTCATCCATATTATATATAGTTAGGGACAATTAAAGATTAATTATTAAGAAATTACTGTGGGACTGGTCGGGTGGTGTGTTGGTTAAGAGTTGGCTTGGGATGCCAGCTCTGAGCTGCAGGGCTGTGGGTTCAGTTCCCACATGAGGGTCAGTGATGCTGCGCCCTCTACAGCTAAGATGTTGAACAACAGCTCAACCTGGAGCTGGGCTGCTGTGAGTCACCGGCCACCGGCAACAGCGTAGTGTAGGCTGCAGTGGGGTTGCAGTGGGTTGCCGTAAGCTACCGTGAGTGGCAGGCAGCCAGCATGAGAGGCTGGCAGCTGGTGTGAGCTGCTGTGAGCCGCTGTGAGTGGCTGTCCAATGGTCCGAGACCGACTGCCTCACCTGGGAAGAGCGCAATGATCACAATACCAACATGGACCAGTGAAGCGACATCCTCCGCAACTAGACTAAAGAACAAAAGGACAGTAACTTGTCTGTTCCCCTTCCCCGATTCCCCAACGCTGTGTCCCCCTGCCCCAGTTCCCCAATAAAATCTTTATAAAAAAGAAAAAGAAAAAAAGAAATTACTTACTGTGAAATTATTTTTTGTCCCTTTCCAGTCAACAGTATTTGTTGAGTGGCATTGTTTCAGGGCACTATCCCAGGCCCTGCACCATCAGTGAGGTGCCCCAGCATTGCCCCGGCAGTGTACTCTCTTATTTCATCTCGATAGTGTCACTGACGGCACACTTCATCCGATTGCTTTGTGCCATTTTTGCATAAGTTATTTGCAATCAGCTCTAGGTACCGTCTGCTTTCATGCCCTATAGCTAACGTTATGTGGGTAAATGTGATGCTTGCCATGGAATCTTCTTATAACTTGCAAACTATTTATTTAAAAAACTTTTTATGATAAAGCAGTAAATCTAATTCATGGTTGAAGATTTGGAAAATATGAGAAAGCATGTAGGATAAAATTAAAAGCACCTTTAATCCCTGTAGCCCAAAAGTAGCCACTGGTAACAGTTTCGAGAATTTCCTTCTGGTATCACTTTTCTATATGTACTTCTCTGCATTTTCCAAATATTCCAAGATGAGCATGCTTTTTCTACATTTGTAATCAGGAAATAAACATCTGCAGGTACAGTGGAGTCCCAGCAAGCTCTTTGAGGCTTGATCAGCTATAGAACATGAGTAAAGAGGCAGCAGGACGGATCCCCCCACCGCTTCTGCAGCAGTGGCCCTGATAAGGGGACTTGCTTTTTGCAGGGGCTGCAGTCCTCCGTGGGTCAGCTCCGCGCTACAGTTTCGCTCCACAACTCCGGCGGCCCGAGCTCTTGGCAGGTTAAAAACGAGCACAGCCGACCTCTGGGTGGCCTCTGAAGTAGCTGCTGAGACACGCCACGCGCGACGTTCATCCACAATAACTCCTGAATGTCGTCTAATAATTCACTGCCCGCGTTCCACTGTCCCTGATCGTCTCAAAACTGTGTTTTTATCATTGGTTTGCCAGAAACAGCATCCAAAGAAGGACCTCCGATGTGTGTGCATCGCTCACACGTCTCCTTCCCGGGTGTGCGGGACCCGGCGGGCGGCCGCGGGCGGCGCCACCAGCGCTCAGAGGCTCCAGCAGCGTGGAGCGGAGAGGGCGGTGGCGATCACCATGGAGACTGCGGAGCGCGGCTCTGATTGGCTGAGACGCTCCGGCCCCGCCCCCTCCGCTCAGCGCCTTGGGGGTGCTGGGGAAAGGCGCCCCTGAGAACGCAAGCGGAAGCGGCGCGCCCAGAGGTTCCTGGGAGTTGCAGTTCACCGTCTGGTCGTGGACCCAGGACGCTCAGACCAGACGCCTGGGGTCCGTGGGCAGGTCGCCGCAGGAGCCCGGAGTCGCGCGAGGTCGGTGTGGCCTTGGACGCGGCGCAGAGCTGCCGGCCTTGCGGACGCCCCGAGCCGGGGCCTGGCGCGGGCTGGACCCCCGGGTCCTGCAGAGGCTGCGAGGGCCCGGCAACCCGCTTTGCAGAGGAAGAGGAGAAACTAAGGAGAAAGGAGCCCTGGGAAAAGGTTGTTTAAGGGGAATCTGAGCCGAGCCAGAGCTCGCTCACTGTGACCGCAGCTTTCGTGCAAGGGACCAAAGTGTAATCTGCGACCCCCACATGGTAAATCTTTGCTGAAATGTTGGCTTGGAGACCCTGAATTTGACTTGAAATAACTGTTTCTTTGGAGGACTGGTGGCGCGCTAGCATTTATCCTTACACTATAATCTACACCTTTCTAAGATTTTCTTTTTCTTTTGTTAAGATTTTTATTAGGGAATTGGGGGGAGGGGAACAGACAAGTTGCTGTACTTTTGTTCTTCAGTCTAGTTGTGGAGGACGTTGCTTCACTGGCCCAAGTTGGCACCATCATTGCGCTCTTCCCGGGCGAGGCAGATCAGTCGCCAGCTTCTGGACGGCCGCTCACGCTGGCTGCTGGCTACACACGGTAGCCCATGGCAACCCACTGCAGCAGGGGCTGCAGCCTACGCAGTTGCAGGCAACTCACGGCAGCCCAGCTCCAGGTCGAGCTGTTGTTTAGCATTTTAGCTGTAGAGGGCAGTGTCACTGGCCCTCATGTGGGATCCAAACTGGGGCCCTCTGGCATCCCAAACCAGCTCTTAACCAACTAGCCCCTTGGCCGGCCCAAGATTTTCTTTTCTTAACACGTGCAGAAAGCGATCTGATTATGCAAATGTTTAATTAAGGAAGCAAAGTATTGAGTTACGTACATTATAAGTGACCCGTTCATTTGAGAATCTCAGAACTTTCTATTAAAAAGGAGAGAGGAACAGGTCTGCAGTGCCTGTCCTCAGCATCTCTCTTTGTACCAGGACATCTGTGTTTATGATTGCTGAGAATGCTGTTGCCTCTGGGTAGTCATGCGACCCAAACATTGACTCGTGTTAGCTCACGTTGCTAATACTTAACTTTCCAGCCAATCGAATAACACCCCCTCTCAGTGCTGGTCTGTCTGCTCTGGCGTTGGATCTTCTTCTCTTTCCATTGGTTGGAGGACCCAGTGAGTGAGTTGGGAGACTCGATTATATTCTTTATGAACTGATAGTGCTAGTGCTTTAAAAATTTCAAAATATTAAATTTAAGTGACCACAGTATTGAATTTATTGTATGTTTTCTTTTCCCATGAGCCAGATTCCAAGTTTCTGATATTACTGTCAGTTCAGGAAGGAGTTGTGGAGATCCTGTGAGATCTCGAGGTCTCTAGAGGCACTCATCAGATGAGGATAAATCTACGCAAGCAGGTTAGGGGCGAATGTTTAACAGGAGTGGAATCTCTTAAATGTTGTCCAAGAAGCTCTCGGTAATGCCTTCAGTCCTGCCATTCTGCTGTTCAGAATTGGAAATATTCAGCTGTTACTCCTTTCTGTGTTGTTTTTCTTGGTGTTGTTTTTACTTCCCTTAGTAGCTTCCCTCCACGGGCTGCCACTCTGCCATTTCTTCTTGTTGAACGTTTTCTAGTATTGCTGTACATCCCCTCACTGTTTGTATTTGGATGAGGTCGCTGTCCAGTCTCATTTAGGTTGTTTAGGTCCTGGATCACTGTGGCAGTACAGTGCACAGAGCCCGAGTTCTCTCTCTGACGGTCGCGTCGCTCACCTCTGTTCCTTTAGGTTAATCACGGAACATTCCTTAAAATGAGAAGGTTAAAATTTTACATCTTTAAAGCATTTGGGTTTTCTTTTTTTAGCTTTCAGTGTCTTTGTGACATTGCCTATTGGACCGGCCTCTTTCCCACCACTTTTATCTACACTTACCTCTGCTCCACTGACTCTTATTTTCCCATGTTACAAGACTATATATTCTAATACGAATTAATTTTATTAAGGGTTATTTTCTTTCTCCTGAGTGCAGTTTTCCTTGTCCCAACACAAAAAGAGATGTTTTTATATTTTTTTATTCCTTTCAGATTTGAAGACCAGAGCATTTACCAAGGAGAAGACCATGAGTATACTTTTGAGCGAGCTTCTCCATCACTGTCATCATGGAAAGGCTCAGAAGGGGTGCGTCCCAAGGATGTTTATTTGAAGAAGCCTGTGACTATGAGGCCAAGGTAGAAAAGCAAAGGAAGAACGCTATAGGTAAAATTTCAAAAAAATCTCTTGCCCAAACCACTGGTTTTCAGCAAGTAATAGTTGCCCAGGAAGAAATATCTTTAGAGGAAAATGTACACAAATTTAATGTATTTGAGAGAAGTTTTGATGTAAGAGCTAAGCTTAATCCACAGCATATTACTTACTCAGAAGCTAAACCACATATATTTGATTCATTTGGGAAAAGTGCCAGATGGGACTTCTCTCCAATTAAACGGCAAAGAAATTACAAAAAGAAAAGTTATAATTGTAGTGAATGTGGAAAAAATTTCAATGACCGTTCAAACTTTATTCGTCATCAAAGAATTCATACCGGTGAGAAACCTTATAAATGTGATGACTGTGAAAAAGCTTTTAGCCAGAGTTCATCTCTTACTGAACATCAGAGAACTCACACTGGAGGAAAACCCTATAGGTGTAAAGTTTGTGAAAAAGCGTTCATTGTAAATTCATCTCTTATTCAACATCAGAGAATTCATACTGGGGAGAAACCTTATAAATGTAACGAATGTGGGAAAGGCTTCAGTGACTACTCATCCTTTATTCAACATCAAAGAATTCATAGTGGAGAGAAACCCTATGAGTGTATTCATTGTGGGAAGGCCTTCACGGACATCTCATCTCTTACACAGCACCAGAGAATTCACAGTGGAGTGAAACCCTATAAATGTAATGATTGTGGAAAGGCATTCAGACGAAGTACACACCTTACCCAACATCAGAGAACTCATACTGGGGAAAAGCCTTATAAATGTAACGAATGTGGGAAAGCATTCACTGCCCACTCAACCTTTACACAGCATCAAAGGGTTCACACTGGAGAAAAACCCTATATGTGCCATGCATGTGGGAAGGGCTTCCCTGAAAATTCTTCCCTTACTAAACATCAACGAATTCATACTGGGGAAAAACCCTATGACTGTAGTGAATGTGGTAAAGCTTTTAGCCAGAGCACTCACCTCACTCAGCATCAGAGAATACATACAGGAGAGAAACCCTTTAGGTGTGATAAATGTGGGAAAGCATTTGGTAACAGTTCAATGCTGATCAGACACCAGCAGCTTCACACTTTGGAGTCATCCTAATGATCTTATGGTTTCCTGGACTATGTCATCCTTTCAGGACCTCTCACTTTTTGATCCTGTGTCTCTTCCCATGCCACCTGCTCTCCTGCTCACCATTATAACCTCTAGGAATGTTGTTCTCCTGGGATGAAGTAAAACAGCATTTCTCATAGTTGTTGTAAACAGCAATTTCACTGGATGACATCCCCTTTCCTACATCTATCCTGAGGAAGTGTGGTTGCTACTCCATCTCCATGTTCACCTGTGAACAGTAACCCATTTTGTAGCATAGCCGTCACCCTGGGCTTCTGAATCAGTTTCTCTCTGGACCTAATTTACTTGTCATTTCTGGGATTCCTCACTCTGATTATTAAAACAGGTCAATTATTATATTCATCCGTATTTCTCAGTTCTTTGCTCTGCCTGCCCAAAATACCAGTGGTTCATCAGGCTGAGAGTAAATTTGAATAACAGTACATGTCACTGGGAATCATGTCATATTGGCAATTTGGCTTATATATTCATCTGTTAAGTTCTTTCAATATGATCATCTCAAAGATTGGACCATCTACAAAGTTCAGTGGTCTGTTAGCATTCGTAATACATCTTACAGCTGCCTGCGTCTTCCCAGTCACCCAGAGTCCACCATGTTTTTACACATCTCTTCTCAGTCAAGCTTAACCTTACTACCCACTTATGTTCACTGCTGCCACCCCATGTGTGTTAGTGAAAGAGATGAAGAAATTTGGCATTCAGACTGTGTTTCAACTCACCATCAACATAGCTGACTTGGGTTCCTTTTTTTTTTTTAATTGGGGAATTGTGGGGATGGGAACAATGCTGGGGAATTGGGGGAAGGGGAACAGACAAGTTGCTGTCCTTTTGTTCTTCAGTCTAGTTGTGGAGAACGTTGCTTCACTGGCCCAAGTTGGCACCATCATTGCGCTCTTCCCGGGTGAGGCAGATCAGTCGCCGGCTTCTGGACGGCCGCTCACTGCGGCTGCTGGCCGCTCACGCTGGCTGCTGGCTACACACGGTAGCCCATGGCAACCCACTGCCACAGGGACTGCAGCCTACGCCGTCGCCAGCGACTCACGGCAGCCCAGCTCCAGGTTGAGCTGTTGTTCAGCATCTTAGTTGTAGAGGGCAGTGTCACTGGCCCTCATATGTGGGATCCGAACCGGGGCCCTTTGGCGTCCCAAGCCAGCTCTTAACCATCGCGCCACTCGGCCGGCCCCTGACTTGGGTTCTTGTTAGACTGGGTCCAAAGATCAAATGTGGGCTCTGGCTTCCCGCTTCTCTGTGCTCTCGCACAGTGTGGCTTTTTATCACTGGTCATCACCAACTCGATGCCCTGGTCTACTCACTAGGGACAGAGTTAAAGGTGGAAATGGCATTTAAAACGTCACTTTGTCAGCAGGAGCAGAGCCAGTTCCCTGAAAGACAAACTGGAACTTTAGCTACCAAATACTGTTATGGACCCAGACTCACTGTGAGGGCAGTAGCTACACAGCTGGTGGCGCTGGCCTGTGTGGCACTTGGGAGACCTGCTCTGCGTGCCTTTATAATTTTTATCTTAGCTTTCTCATTTGGTACTTGTCAGTTCTAGTTCAGTCTTACTGTCCATTTACTTTGCTATGTGTCTGGTTCCTGCTGCTGATTTTTCATTATAATGGACATTTCACTGGTTTCCTGATCTCAGTCTTAGGGGTGGCCCAGCCAGATAACTGTTATTAGGGTTTTCGCTCTTCTCTGGCATCCAGCTGCTTACTAAAATAAAATGTTCAACATGCTTCCTCCTGAGCATTTTTTTTTTTTAGCTGAGCCATCCTGCCACCTGTTGGCAGCTCAGTGGCTGTTCAGCTCGGGCCGGGAATCGAACCGCTGTTGCTCAAGCTCGCATTCTTGAGCGAGCTCTTAACCAGCTGAGCCACTTGGCTGGCCCGTCCTGAGCATTTTTTTTGTTGCCCTAGTTTTCCATTGTTGAAGATTTCGCAGCCCTGCTATAATTCTTACAGTATTTACCACGTTGTTTTACAGTTAGGTGTTCTACTAGCCCAGCGGTTCTCAACCTTCCTAATGCCGCGACCCCTTAATACAGTTCCTCGTGTTGTGGTGACCCCCCAACCATAAAATTATTTTTGTTGCTACTCTATAACTAATTTTGCTACTGTTATGAATCGTAGTGTAAATATCTTTTTGCTTTCTGATGGTCTTAGGCGACCCCTGTGAAAGGGTTGTTTGACCCCTAAAGGGGTCGCAACCCACAGGTTGAGAACCACTCTAGACTGTCAGCTCCTTCAGGGCAAGGACCTTGTTTAATTCATCTTTGTATCTAGTCTCCAACAGACTGATTGGCACAGAGTTGCTGCTTAATAAAAACTTTCTTTAAAAATGACACAGCTTCCTAGTTGCCGCTTCCACAACCCAACTGAACACATTTTTACTGAACAGTCTTCGAAGTTCCGGAATCTCTTTGGGCTAGACCTGTCTTCATACCTTGGCTATATATATCTGTCCTTTGTCATGGTGTGTTTCCAAGTATGTGTAAGTCAGTGTGAAGTAATACAGTGGGTTAGCGCTTGGGCCCTGAGATCAGAGAGCCCAGGTTTGAGGCCCAGCTGTGGTATCTGCAGGTGGCTCGTGTTGCTTCTGTATTTTATTCAGGTTCCCACATTCAGACTCAGTCTGGCACCTCTATGTGTTAAAGCCCACACTGGTCATGCAGACAGGTTAATGCTGAGAGCTGGGGTACCTGGTGACCAAATTGGGTTGATATGATAGGAAACGAGACCAGGAGAAGAAACAGGCCTGATGAAGGCTCCACACTGTGCTGATAAGAGACTTCATTCCCCACCCTAGGAGGAAGCTGTTGGTAGTTCTATGTACAGGAAGTGATAGGATAAGATCGCTATCTTAGAAAGACCAAGCTGGTCACTGTAGAGGTTGCACTGGATGAGAGAGGGCGGGAAGCAGGGAGACCAGTGAGA